TAGATATAGATACAGGCATAAGCTAATAGGTAAGAAAAAGTGGGATAGCAGAGAAAGAGCAGAAAAATGAAGGGAAATGAAAGAAAAGGGGAATAGGAATGGGAAGGGAAGGGCAAGGAAAAGAAGGGGACAGCGAAGAGGAAAGTGGATGGGTGGGGAAGAAAGGGAAGAGAAGGGAAGGCAAGAGGGATGAAAGGAAAGGAAACAGAGAGGAAAGGTGACAAAAATAGAAAGCATGAGTAAGAAGAAAGACAAGGCAAAGGGATGGAAAAGTAGGGAGAAAGGCAGAGATGGAAGGAAGGGAGGATGAAAGAAAGGAAGGAAAATCAACGCAATTTAATAAAACTAGCAAGTTAGCTCTAAAATTTTTGATGAGATTTATATTAGTTGTGTGTGGTAATCACAGTAATTTCCTAAGTAGTTTTAATCAACAATTTGGGAAAGATTATTTTGAAGTAACATTTTTTTTTATTATTATTCATAAAGTATCTTTTTACATATACTGTCACTGCGTAACATGTGGAACTGAACTCTCATATTAGAGCTCATTTTGACCTCCAGTTCTCAGGCATCTGCCGTAGCAAGGGGTTTCGTAAGGTATAAACATATTTTTTGTTTTCTTGTTTCTTTCTTTTCAGTAATAACAAGATTTTCTTTTCTTTTTAGCTTGGTAAATCATATCTGCTGACAAATTGTCAAAAATAGTATTTTGAACATCATAACCTGTTACTATCAATATAAATATATGTTTAAATAATCAATGAAAATCCCATTGAGAGCAAAAATAGAGAAGAACCAACAGTCAAAAGTTGCAAATTAAAGTTTCAAGGGCCAAATCTGCCTTTCAGAAATTTTTGGTTTACCATGTATGATTTTTTTTTTTCTTTTTTATTCTTTTCTTTCTGTTTCTTTTTTTTATTATTTTAGTTTTTAATTTTGGAAATTTTAGATAAGACATTTCATGAGATCTCATTAAATATGAAATTATCTGGTCATCTTGGGTTAAAATTCCCACAGAGTATTTTATAAACTGTAACATTTAAGACTACATATTCCAGATTTCCAGATGTTTTTGTCTAGATTTCTTCATTCATTTATGATTGTTTGTCTGACCTTTTAGGTACTTTAGGATTTACGTTCAAGTTATAATATGTACATCATAGAACTGATACATTTAGCATTTCCACAGTTGTTTTCTGCTAACACGTAGAGTCCTCTTGCTGAAATGTACATCTTTCTCAGAGAAAACCTTACAGTGTGCAGCCCCAGCTTCTCTCAGTCACTGCTGAATGCTTTCACAGTTTTTTTTTTTTTTGCTTGCCAGCATATGGCTGGGAACTGGAGTTGGGGCTTGGGGCAAAACTTAAGCCCTGTCTAATGACTGTTCACCTCATTAAAGCTAAACGCATGACTATTCACGTTACAAGGAAGATAAAACATACTTCTGTTTCCTGATCTTTATGTGTCCTTGAGAGTTTCAACATGAAGTAGTTGACAATAGTTGACTTAATAGCATTTATATAGAACTGCTTACCAAGGAGCATCAAATAATCTACCAAAGAAGGAAAAAGTAATTTTTGAATCATTGTTCCTTTTGAAATAAAAATCACTTAAACTAATCAATGAAAGAATGAAAGAGTAAAATATGACAGTATTACTATCATTGATTCTTCCCTATATTAAAAAAAAAAAAAAAAAAAAACACCTTAAAATGAAGTATATTAACTTTCTGGATTTTATTTGAACAAATACCAATAATTCATTTCTACGTAGAGGAAAAGGAGCTCTGGTAGCATAGTGCCTAAGGCACTTGACTGCTAAACAGAAGGCTGTTGGTTCAAACCCATCAGCCACTCCTTGGAAGGAAGGTTGGGCAATCTACTTCCATAGTGATAATGCCTCAGAAACCCAAAGAGGGGTCATTATGAGTCGGGTCTGACTCGATGACACATAACAACAACAACAACATGGAGAGGAAAAGAAGTGAGTGTTGACGTGTGCTATCAGTGGAAAATCCTTATAGTCATACTCAATATTAGAAACAGCAACATCAGTTGGCAAATAATCCATATGTGTCTATCATTTGATGAAGAGTAAATGGCTTTTCTTTGTTTATGTCTTGTTTTGTTCTTGAGAATGTAGGAGAGATTTTTTAAAAAAATATTTTATTTTTATTGTTGTAGAAACGTACACCATACATACATGCACCAGTTCAACAATTTCTGTGTGTACAATTCAGTGACATTGATTATATTCTTTGAGTTGTGCAACCATTCTCATCCTTTTCAGTATTGTAATTCAGTGGTATGGGAAATTGACAATACAAAATAATTATTTTTAATATTGTTCAGCATGAGATAGGAACTAGCACAAAATATCAATCAGCTGATTCCAAAAATTTTCCACATTTGAAAATCTACTTTTCAAATAACCACCCCATAAAATCTTGCATATAATTGTATTTCTATTCTTATGAACATATCAGAAAATTTGACTGAGATATGACATTTCTAATTGAAAGACATATTGATAAACTACAATTTACTATTTAAATGGACTTTTTGTTACCAATCAAGTCTTACTTGCAGGGAAAAATACATGGTTAATCAGATTAGCTATACAATGTAAAAGTGAACTTGTGATTGGTGATATGTTAGATGTAGTCAGTCAATGAAAGCTGGGTAGCCCATTTAGATGGACTTATTATACATCAAAGAGACCAAAAGCACCACTGGATCCCTTTTATATTACATTAAGAATATTCTCAGTCAGTTAATAAGCTTCTAAGATTATGCAAGCATATATTGAAACCCTGTTATGTAAAAATGGCCTCGTGCATTAGTGGTTAAGTTTTGACTGCTCTCTGAAAAGGTGACAGATTGAACCCACCAGCCACTCTGTGGGAGAAAGATATGGCAGATGGAAACTCTATGGGGCAGTTCTACTCTGTCCTATGACTAGGAATCAATTGGAGTTGATGGAAGTGGGTTTTTTGGTAAGAAATACTTGAGGATCTTTATGATAGCTGGATCATAGTATTATAGATAGCTGGATAGATAGATACTAAATCTAAACCAAACTCACTGCTGTCAAATCGATCCAATTTATAGTGACCCTGTGAGACAGAGTTGAACTGCCCCCATATAATTTCCAAGACTGTCAGTTTTTATGGAAATAGACTGCCACATCTTTCTCCCATGGAGCTGCTTGTGGATTTGAACAGCTAAATTTTTGGTTAGCAGTTTAAGGCTCCTAAATTTATAGGTAAAATGCCCTATGTTAAGGAGCTTGTATCTATTCAAGAATGTGAGCCCCATAAGGAAAATACTGTTACCAGATGTCAAGGCTGAGTGCCCTGTGAACACTCAATGTGGACAGTAATATAGGCTGGGCTAATACAGTGATATCTGAAATGGTTGAGAGGCAGAATTTAAACTGCTCAGTGGCATTAGCGTAGTATTTGGAAGAGAGAATAGGAAAGAAGCTGAGAAGCAAAAATTTTTTCAGTATGTTTGGAAATTACTGTACAATGAAAATTAAATATGTGAGTTCAAATTATAGGAAATGGTACTAAAAATATAGACCAGCTTTTTAGGAAACATTGAAAAAATGTTGTAGAGAATGTCTGAGAAAACATTGTTTAGAAGCCATTTATTTCTACATCTGAGTAGACAAAGGAGTATATTAAAGAAACTACATCGCAGCTGGGTTTGGTAGAACTCCTCCTGCTTTTCAACGGGCTTCTTGCCTTTTATGATTCTACTTGTCTATTTTTAGCCGCTTACTTTTGCTTAAAAAAATAGTTATATTATTCCTGTTATATTAATGAAGTAAAAAACAAGATATATACAGTTGTCTTTCATAAGGAAGAAATGATTTCTGATCATATTAACTACTTTTAGTAAAAATAAAGCTGTAAGTATAGATGCAGACAAATTTTAGTAGAAACAGAAATTACAGACCACATCAAATGAAAGCTAAAATATTAAGTATTTTCTTATAAGCAGAAAAAAAACCTCATGGATCAATATGTGAGAGAGATGGCAGGCGCAGCATAGTGTTTTAGGAAAGATTAAACGTCAGAGACTGTCTGGATGGGAGAAAGCAGTAAGACCAATCCTTTGAGATAGTTGTTAAAAGATAAATGTAGTTCAATTTTTAGTTTTTAGATGCTTCTAGGAAACCAATTAAAAAACGTGTTACTTTGTAGTAGCTAATGGAGATAAATATCTAACCCCTCAGACTAAATCTTAAATTTATTTCATATTGTTACCTATGTTGAAAGGAATATCTCCCCCCAAGGCACAGAATGGCAAACAAATAAACAATTAAAAAAATTTTATATTGTTAGGCCATAGGGTCTTGGATGTAGGAGTTCATTTGCCATTTTTGAATAATCCAAGTTTGTAAAGAGCCATGCTTTGTATTATTTATATTGAATCCACAATAATGAGTGCCTATAATTTGCAGAATGTTCTGTATTCTGTAGCCCAGAATATGTTTTTTTGTTTGTTTTTATTCGGTTTAAATCATGGTTGTCCTAAGTTATTGCATTTAATTTTGGGAAAGATAATTTTTGCAACCTTACTAAAAATAGAGGTCACCATTCATCAAAGATTTGATTGTATTTTAGAATGATTGCTTGAAGGTAACTATACATCCTTGTAGTCTATCCATTTCTATTTGTGGATTCCCACTTACTGTTTTAATTATTTTCCTATGCTCTGAGCTGAGACTACCCTTTAGAAGGAGACCTTTTCTTTCTTAAAAACAAAATTCATTTTACCTTTCAAAATGTACAAAGCCATCACCTTATTTATCTCATTAAACTTCTATGTTCTGTCCTTTTCCAGTTGCTTTTTTCTACTGAAAATAAATATTGGCACACTTTGGAGAGTTTGGAAATCTCTACCCTCCTCTCACATTTTGTCATGCTAACCTTTAATTATGAAATTCTGCCTTTCTTGAAATAGTTTTTAACATGCCTTGTCTTTCCCTAGGTTCTCCATATCGAGATAAAATCACCATAGCGATTCTTCAGCTTCAAGAGGAAGGCAAGCTGCACATGATGAAGGAGAAGTGGTGGAGGGGCAACGGTTGTCCAGAGGAGGAAAGCAAAGAGGCCAGTGCCCTGGGGGTTCAAAATATTGGTGGCATCTTCATTGTTCTGGCGGCCGGCTTGGTGCTCTCGGTTTTTGTGGCAGTGGGAGAGTTTTTATACAAATCCAAAAAAAACGCTCAATTGGAAAAGGTAAATGTCACCTTGTTTAAATTAAAAACAATCATTGTGATTATAATAAAACAACCAATATTCTATCTTTCCAACCAAGGTAATGCTTAGAACTGTGCCTGATCACTGTCTTATGCTATTCATTATAAAAAAAAGATTCACAAAAAAGAACTCTGTATCACCCTCTTGGTTTTAAATTTGATCTTTATATGTTTAATGATAGACAGCTTTCAGGACACGTAATGGTTTCTACTCTTATGGAAGCCTGAAGAAAGAGAAACGTGCTTCAGGAATTTCACTGCGGTTAATTTAATGGAGAAATTTAATTAAGGAAGGAAGCAAAAACAGAAACTCTAATATGCAGGAATAAATACTTCTCTGCAGATAAATAAGATTTCAAGAAACAAAACTGTTTAACAGTTTAAAATTGAAGAGTAAATGAAATAAAAAAATCAAAAATATTTAGGTTAATAAATTTGTATTTGAAAAAAGTAACAGTGTACAGTATGAAAATTATAATTTTCTACATTAATGTGTATGTGTTCAACTAAAAATTGAACTACATTTATCTTTTAACAAAGATATATATATATTTGCTATTTAATAGTATTCTCAATAAATCCTTTATTTCCTGGTACCAAAGTATTTAAAACACTGTGTATAACCTCAAAAATATTGAGACTATCAAAATAATTGGTAGTATTTTAATCCAGTTAGTATTTTTTGCAAAAATCTTTGCATTCTGTTCTTGAAAATTTTGTGATATCATTCAGATTCTGTATGTCTGGTGCTATATCTTCTTCGTTTCTATAAGTAAGAGGAGATACGTTTATAGAGAAATTTCTGTTTCAGATCGTACTTAACACTTCTTGTATACAAATGAATAGCTCTGGACATGAGGCATTTATAAATTGATAGCTCTG